GGGTTAATGGATATTTCGCCTTACTATTTTTTTATTATCCCGCAACTTTATTCTTTCTGTATAGAAAACTTATTCTATAGGTGCGGAAACTGAGCGGAGCCGGGCTTTTTTTTTGACGTAAGTACAGTCTCGTCATTCGGTGTATAGAGGCGCCGAGGAAGACCGCCGCCGGCGGCGGTTTAAAAATGATGCGGACGCGACACGCTCTCACGCAACGTGCGTGCGTATTATACATGCGAGAGAGTTCGCATCGTCACGATGTGTGTCGCAAGTCACGCAACTCGGTTCCTACGTTACAACCGCGGAGTTTTATGGGTTCTTACGGCAATACCCTTCCTATGGCCTCCTCCTCTTCCCTTGCGGTCTTACCGTACGGGCGTTCGAGTTAACGAGGAAAATTTTCGAGAATTAATCTTATCAAAGAGATCGAGATTCGCTCAAAATGATTGTAATGTATTTTAAGTTTTAGCTAGAGAGAGAATGATTTTCCATTTACAAATTTTGTTAAACGAGCTTTAAATCGAAGTGAGATCGATGATAGTAAGAAAATGCTGAGAAACGTATCATCATTAATGCGATAAATTGTAAGCACGTGCTAATGATTTTATTTTCCAGTGTGTCTTTCAGTATATTTCTTCGTTGAACATTTTTACATCGTAAAAATTACGCGACCCTACAAAATTGAAAAAAATCTCTAATAATATAGTAATGCTTGTTTACATGCATCAGTTCCATGTCGTCGGTATATCAGTTTTAGAAAAGTGAATAAACTTTTTCGGGAAGACCGTATCTCTCTCCAGCTGCGTCCTACCGCAAAGATAGCGATAATCTTTTCTAAACATTTCTGAGCAACGCAGAGATACGGCGGCGTTCACATTGCAGTCGTTTTCTTGTCATGCGGATAGAGTAATATTTTTTTTTTTTTTTTTCGCTTTATTATACATGTTTATGCATATTATGGATATTCATGCACAAATACGGAATTTCTTATTCCGCGAATGCCTACGCGACGCTGCGGCATCTCAACGGCGAAGCAACAAAACGGCTCGAAAACGTCGGATCGACGAAGGAAAAATATCGCTCGGAGACGCGAACCGCGGAGGGCGGGTGGGAGGGGGAGGGGGCAGGGGATATTCGTCGGGCGTTGAAATTCGTGATTAGCCCTCTTTTCTGCGTGCTCACGTCCGTGCAGCTCGCGTCGACCCACGTCAACCTGGAACGCCTGGCATCAGAGGAAAAACACATTAGCTGGCGGGTTTCCAGAACGGGCCGCGAGAGGTCGGATCCTCACGGGCCGTTCCCCAGCACGCGCCGCGTTCCGAGAACGCGGCCAGGTCGCGCCGTCGCCGTCGCCGCCGCTGCCGCCGACGGGTTTGATGACGTAAGAGAATAAAAGCAGCACAAAAGGCTCGCTGGTTCATTAGCGCGAACTGCTGCACGGCCGCACGTCCCCCGGGCCGACCGACGACGTGGCCGCGCGCGGCGCAATCTTTGTCCTTTGACTCCCGGGCACGCATGCATTGCGCCCGGAATCGTCGGTCGCCGACGATTCGTCGAATCGTTGTCGTCGTCGCGGGTCGCTGTCGCCGTCGCCGTCGTCGTCGTCGTCGTCGTCGCTGAATTATTCACGGCTCGCTCCGCTTTTCTCCGCGACGCGCCTGCACACACGCGCCTTCCTCGAATAAAACCGACCTCCGCCACAACGAATTTTACAATCGCTATTAACCGCCGCGCGCTTTGCAGCGGATTTTCGAGATCTGGGATGGCTGATAAGCGCCAGGAGGACGTTCCGGAACTCTAAATAAAGCAAACGGATTGACCCCGTGGGGTCTCTCGGAATCGCGTCCGAGAGTTCATCCCTTTTGCATGAGAGCGCCGTTCGATAACGTACGATATCCGCTGCAGTTATAAATAAATACGTAATTTGGAAAGAAATTAAAGGGGCTATTGAGGGCTATTGCTCCTAATTTCTTCTTCAAATTAGGTATTTAGGTCGCTCGCCGTTTTGTCTTGAAATCGCACGCGTTTTAGATCGTGAAAAATACCGTCTTATATATATACGTGTTATCCTCGCGAGAGCGTTCGTTAAGTTTTTGCAACATGACGCGGGTTATATTGCAGCTGCACCTGGCTTCTACCTGTGCAGGTGCCTATAGGAAAGCCTCACGGAGGACGACGTTTCTCCTGCGTTTCACGGACCTTTTATTTTTCGCGGAACAAGTCAAATAAAGAACTCTCGCACCTGGCAAGTGCGTTCTATTTACGAAAGGAGCTCCGCGTATTTCCTCTATTTCGGCCTCTCGACGCTCGAAAAACAGATTTGTTTCGTCAGCTTAGCTCGTTTCGTCCAGTCTCTCTACGTTTCATTATAAATATTTAAATCTAGACGTCCTTAAGAACGAACGAAAAAAAAAGAGACTTAAAACCCTCGCTGGCGAGGATCTTTCTTGTTGCAATTTTTTTTTTTTTTTTTTTTTAATAGAAAGCGACTCTCGCGATTTTCATTAGCGGAGAGTTTCGTTCTCCAAGAAGCCCGAGCTTTCGGAGCGCCGATCTTGATGAGGAAGTGTATATATAGGAATATCGCCTCGCGATAAAGACCGAGCGACAATCTACATATCATCGCGGGTAATAAATTCCGAGAGAAATTTAAATAACAAAACGACGGGAGCTTTGTAAATTAACATTTGTAAATTAACGTTTCTCGTGTCGAGTCTTTGACCTAGGAATTCTTAAGACCTGTTTTGAGAATGCTTCGCAAGTCGGGGCGATAATTTTCGATTTGTTTGTAAAATCGAACACCAGCGAATATATAAAATGGATCGTTTCCCCAAGTATACGCGATTCCGTATATACATGTATTGTACACAAGACGAGAACGATAGGATAGGTTTCGCTAAAAGCACCTCGAAAGGCTTCGGATTAAGATGAAGGAATGCCGAGGTTCTCTCGGCACACCGCGAACGTGCTCGGACCATCCAAGGACTCAAACATCCGTGACCGAAACGGCCGACGGGTTTGCGCCGGGGAACGCGAGACGAGTGCCTACGTAAGCGAGTGTGCGACAGGCTTCGCTTGCATTTCTATAGTTCCCCTTCCCCCATCTCTCCCAACGACGTAGGGACGGCGGAGGCTGCGGGCAGAGCAGCGGGCGGCGGCGCCGCGGAGGGCAGGGCAGGGGGAGGGGGGGTGAAAAACACCTGTTACGGACTTCCGTAAACACGAGGTGTTCTGTTTATTTTCGTACTACGTCGCCTGTTTCGTACTACATTAGAATCGCAGACCCGTTCGCTGTCACGTCACGCGGATCGCTGCCTGCTATCTGCCTTACCAACCGCCGCGGCGACCGCGAAGTGTAGGAGGGCACCACCTCCCGATTACGGCAATTGCACGCTCCGATTTTCAGCGAAAAAAGAATAGGTATATAAGTTGTAAAATTATCGTTTATTATATTAATTATAGTTAATTAATGTTTACGTTCTTTTGCACGAAGCTGTAACACAGTCTGAATGAAGAGATTATTTAAATAAATTCAAATAGTTTCGGCAAAAAAGTATCTTTTTTTTTTTGTTTAAATTATATATACTATCTGAAGGAAACTTTTCTTGCCTTTAAATGCGATTTGTGCGAAACCAATCTTGTAAAATCGGATAATCGTAGTTTTTCCTATTGAAATTACAGATGATACATCCTGACGGATAATTATTAGATCCTTGAGCTCTTTTCTCTCTTCCTTTTTTCCTCTCTCTCTCTCTTTCAAGAGGACTTTGAACTCGGATAATATCGCAGTCATCTCGTGCGACTTGCTCTTATAGCTACATCAGATTATATATATTTGATTGTCGATAATGCGGTCTACAGTATATGTAGGAGTTGTAAGCAGTCGTAAATCTTGTAAGTGATCGTAATTGACCAACCATAGTCGATTATTTGACTGTGATTGCTCAAGTTCTTATGGTTCGAAGCTTATTACCATCTACCGTAAACGGGGAAAAATCGGCGTGGAATAAGGAATACAAAAGTATGCGCATAATAACAATCGAAACCTGTTCTAAATACTGCAAGCGCCGACAATTCACACTTTCGAAATTTACATATATGTACGTGATTGAAATTTTAATGGAACGTCAGGTTTCGTGAAAAAAAAAGGCGAACTCAGAAAATCCTTACGTAAAATGCAAAATCACGAATTTATATATAAATCGGAGATCTATTTAATCTCAATGTTTAATAACGTTCGTGTTGCGTGATCGAAATTATATTATGTGTTTTTTTTTCTTATAATGCTGCGAACACTCTTTGTATTTAAAGTGAAATATAGGTATGTTTGAAATTCGATAAAAAAATAAAAGGAAAGTCCTAGCGCGAGTCCAGTGCGGCAATAAAGAAAAAACAAACCTTTCGTTGTCGCTGCGCGTGCGAACGCAAAATTTCGAAACGCGACAGCGTCGACCTGCTGCGTTGGCTGGAAGCCCGGGAGAAATCTATCCTAGAAAAATCCTGCTTTACTCGTTCGTCTTACTTCATTACCGTCTTGTTTTTACGCGACAGCGTAAAGTTTCTCTCCGCCAGCGGACGCGCGATTTCCACGATCACGTACATTTATCCGTTTTGACGCAGGTTCCCGGAACTGTGCGCGCTCCTCGTAATTTCCTCCCCCCTCCCCCCCCCCTCGCTCACTCGCTTCTGTGACGTTGTCGGGTTTCGCGGTTGACGTCATGCAAGACGACTGACGTAAGCGTTAAAAAAGTGCTGAAAAATCGCCATCGTTAGGGACCGCGGGGGTATATCGCGCGCGTATGCAGCACCCCCGTGCACCACACATATCCCACCCTCTGGCGTAGGGTGGCCCGAACGTCACGTGACGTCACACGCGTGTGCGCGGCGGTCGACCGCGCAGCGGGCCGAGTCGGTCCGAGCGCTCCGAGCGACGGCGGCCGAGCCGTGCCCGACCGGTAAGGGGGATACGGACACAAGTGTAACGCCTGATAAGACTTGCAGGCGATGGACCGTTGCGATAGTACGCGCGATCGCCTTTGACAGTGTCGCCCGTGCACGTCGACGTGATCGTCGCGGACGCGATTTTCGCCGTGTGTATGTATGTACATACGGGGTAAGAGGTACGATGCCGAGGCTCTGAGTCGTCCGAGGGGTGGCATCGAGCGATCGAGCGGGGGATCCTAACCGGGGGAAAACGGCTGTGCGCCCAAGGTGCGTGCGTACGTATATATACACGTATACGCGCGCGCGTCGGTGCTCTTACTCACACCTATCCTTGGGATTTCGCACACACCATCGACACGCGACACGCACGCACGCACGCACGCACGCACACACGCACGCGTATACGCGAGTGTACATACAATATCCTTATCCTTGGACGGACACCGCCCGCGCACCCGCCAGCGCCTAGGACAAAGGACGACGACGACGACGTCGCGGGTAACGCCGAGCACGCGGTCGTCGGATTACTAAATCGAGTGTCCCCTTCTGCGTCTCCTTCCTTTGCTCCAATTTTTTCTCACGCACCTATAACATAGCGCAAATTTCTCTGATATATATATATATATATATATATACACATACTTCTCGTATATATATATATATATCGCATACAGCCCTATATATACCCTGCTTCCTGTGCTTTGTGCACGCTCCTTCCAAAGCGACTTTCAACATCGTCCTCTCTCGTGCCAGGAGGACTTTACGTTCAGCTTCGGCTCTAACAGCGAATCTCGTATCGCCTTCTCTCATCCGCATAGTGCTCGGTGCTCCGGTACTCATAAAATAAATAACGTGTCCCAGACTCGCGTGCGTGCGCGTCCGCACAACGAGCAACCTTTCCTCTTTCTCTTGTTTTCTTCTCTATTCCACCTCCGTTTTCCCCCTTTCCTCCTCCCCCACTCCCCCCTTTCCCGTGAGCCCCTTCCTCTTCCTTCCTCAAGTGCACTCCCTCGCGTCGCGGGACGTAGCACTCTCTGTCACACTCTGTTCTGCGTCTCCCCACGGTGAGGCCGTGAGGGACATCGTATAGCGAGCGCCCTCTCGTTCACTCCAGCAGCAGCGGCACGTCGTTTCCCGTCGTCGACTCCGTCGTCTCGGAGGGCAGAACAGGAATATGGAGGCGGTAGCGAAGCACGACTTCACGGCGACCGCCGAGGACGAGCTCAGCTTCCGCAGGAGCCAGGTCCTGAAGGTTAGTACAGAGCTGCTGTGGGCATCTCGGAGGTCCGACCTGGCCGCCACCCCCCCCCCTTCCGCCGACTCCGTCCTCCCCCCGAATCCCCGTCTCGTCCCGTCACCTGGTTCGTCACCCGACGCCCTGACGAGGCGCGCCGCGCCGCGCCGCGTCGCCTCGCGCCTCGTCCGGCCCGCCGCGTCGCGCGGCGCGGTCACGAGACCTCCGGCCGAACCCGAAACTTCCACCGTCGTCGCGGCGTCGACACCGTCCGTCGACCGGACGGTCCTAAAGATGCGAGGGAGATATTATTGCACACGTACATTGTACCGTGCATGTACGCTTGCAATCCGTCAATCAGCACGATCGGCACATCACTGCGCCCGGAAAGCTGCCTTGTCTGTGACACAAAACATTCTATGAATGCTGTTGCTCGACGCAATAACGATTGTTATTGTTTGGAGCAATGAACGACAGTGATTGCCGTAAGGATTGAAGTAATGTTGCAACTTGTTTCTTTTGGCTGTATGTCTTTCGACACTGTCTTAATGCGTTTAAAAAGTTTCTTTTCGAGTACACACATGGAACACAGCTTATATTTATTTGTGTATATTATTTGCTAAAATATGAAGATTTAAAAAAAGGAAAAAATACAAAAAAATAGATAAAAAACCGAGGGAAAATAAAAAGAGATTATATAGCAGTCAGATCCGTTGTAAATTTAATATTTTTTTCTTTTTATACTTGTTGAAGGCTGCTTTTAATTTTGCTTCTTATAAATGTGATAATTGCATCTTTAATTTAGAAAACATTACTTTATAATCTTTTAATTTGAATAACAAGTTTTTATAGCAAAGTTTAAAAGTTTTGACGATTATTGATTATAAAAAAAAAAGGAACAATGAGAAAGAAATCTTTCCTATAAAATCCAGTCTAAAATTGCAAACAATCTTGCATTGCAAATATTATTTTTTAATGTAATAATAGCATTAGATCCAATTTAGATCCAATTAAATATATAAATTGTAATATCTTTGAAAGCTATGATATTTAGGTCACTGAAAGTTTAAATTGTTTATGAAATCGAGATTTTCATTTTTTATAAAAAATTTATAGGCAATAATTAATAAAATATTAAATATTTTAAATTATAAAATTGTAATACACGATTTTACAAGATTAATATCACATGTTTAACTTGTATAAAAGATGATCAACTCTTTCCTTTCCATTTGGATTGTAAAATTATGCAGTTTCTACTTTCTATGTCTGTCCCAAAATGTTAATATAAAAATATTAATGTGCAGTGATGTATGTATTTTTATAAATCTAAATTTAATATTACCTCTTACATGTAATACATTCTTTTGCAGATTCTAAACATGGAAGATGACATGAATTGGTATAGAGCTGAATTGGATTCTAGAGAAGGGCTTATACCAAGTAATTATATTGAGATGAAGAGCCACGAGTACGTATCATAAATAATACGTTATATTATAAGTAAAATTTAACAGTTATTGTTCGATAAAGCATTAATATTTCATGTAAAAGTGCTTTCTCCTTCTTCTTTTCGGTAAAAACATTCACTCACATGTTTGTACATTCAAAATTTTATTTTCTGTCCATTGCAGCTGGTACTATGGCAGGATAACCAGAGCAGACGCTGAAAGATTATTGATGAACAAACATGAAGGTGCCTTTCTGATCAGAATCAGTGAAAGCTCCCCTGGTGATTTCTCCTTATCCGTAAAGTGAGTATTATATTGGATGAATAATATTTAATTACGGCTATTGAAATTTTTGCAACAAATGAGAAGTATTCAGCTATTTCTCATTTCATAGACTTCAGTAGAAATTTCAGTATAGGAAATTGTGTTCCACGTTAAGGGAACTTTGCAAATTAGAAAATCATTGTTTAATACTGCTATTAATTATTAATAACATGTGAAATAAAATAATCAATTTATATATATACACACAGATGCTCCGACGGTGTGCAGCATTTCAAAGTATTAAGAGACGCACAGGGCAAGTTCTTCCTGTGGGTTGTCAAATTTAACAGCCTCAACGAATTAGTGGAGTATCATCGTACAGCGTCTGTTTCTCGCTCGCAGGACGTTAAGCTGCGTGACATGGTCCCCGAGGAGGTAAAATTTGATATAAAATTGTCTTCTAAAATAGAACGTGGAAAATATTTGAACGCATTAATTTCGTAGAAGATATTTAAATGTATCGATAATACACATTCCCTTTTATTTGTATTTATATATCTATTTTATCTTTTGATATCATAAAAGTAACTTATCCATGGCTTTTAGTGTTTAGTGCAAGCGCTCTACGATTTTGCCCCGCAAGAGCCTGGCGAATTGGAGTTCCGACGAGGGGATGTAATTACCGTCACAGATCGTACAGATCAGCATTGGTGGCACGGAGAAATCGGTAATAGACGGGGACTGTTTCCGTCTACCTATGTCACGCCATACCACTCCTAGGTAAGAAATCTGTGCTCTTTCAATTATCTCTGTATCTATTTGCATCTATTTATAAATTTTAATACAAATTTCATCCGTCTGTTTATTGGCTAATAAATTTACAATTAAAAAATTAAGTACGTCATTACAATTGATGTAAGGATGAAGATTTCATTGAGAATATTGAATGCGATATCAAGAAATCTTATATCTGTCTTACACAATAAAAAATATATATTTAATTTTCTGTATTTGCTTTTTCGCCATTATTAATATATCTTTTTTAGTCACACGTATCCCTCTTATTTCTTTAGAATGAATTAATCTTCAGCATAATTAATATATAATTTTTATGTGTATATACAATTTTTTTCAGGCCTCATACGGCCGAACGCACAGAGGCCGTTATTGGGAACAGTGGCCGCCTTATCCCACCTCTATCACCTACAGGATCCGCGTTGCCGCGGATTTGATAAACAATATTTTACAAACCTCACCTATCGAATGGGCTACCAAGGTGTACTGGTGGTCACGTCGAAAAGTCTTCTAAATACGGCTAAAAAATGAATCGAACGTATACTCCAACACGAAAATCCTCTTGAATACCGAAGAAGAATAAGCGCGTTTATTTAATCGAGGAAAAAGAAAGCGAGAGAAAGAGAAAATCGTCATCGATATCACATCGAAACATCCAAGCACGAAGATATAACGACATCTAGAATTTAAGGACGATTTGAGTATTTAAAGATGTTCGACGATCGGACGATATCCGAGAATCCGAAGATCTCTAATGCGATATCCGGGAATCCAAAAATCGGAAGAATGCTTTTCATCTAACGATTCATCTAAAGGATGTAAAGAGATGCCTAAGAGATGCCTAAGGATCTACGGATTCAAGCATTTATAGAATTCTAACAATTTACACAAATGATCCTTTATCTAAGAGTTATCTAAGTATCTATGGATATCCCCAACGATCTAAGGGTCTCTCGCGCGGTCTCCGTCTGTGGGGGATCGCGTTCGAGGTTAACCGAATATGTATATTTTTGTTTTCCTTTTTTTTTGTAAACCTTTTTGAGGACTCTATACTTTTTCTTTACTTATTGCGTAAAAGCACCGAACTTCGTAGCATTATTGTGTAATTATTATTATTATCTTTTATGGTTATTATTATTATGACTATTAATGTTATGTTACATTTTATTGATAACAATATATTATATTAATTATAGCCGCGTGTGTGTGCTTTGTTTACTTGTGCCCAAACGATAGCGATTATTCCTTTGGATCACGTGGAGTAACGTGCTATATTTAGTGGCGAGCCGAATGCTAGCCGACGACGCTGCCGCTTACGTAGCACATTATTCCATTTATAGTAACAGTGTAGAACGAATGATTGGTCGGTCTGCCTGTTGTCATTACGCGCTAGCGAATATGCCATCCGGGGAAACTTCCTGCTCGTATGCGTCTTCAGCTTTATCGGTCGACCGCGATAAATTCTGGAAGCGGAAAACTCTCACGCGTCTCACGATCGATGTCGTGCCACCGGCTTTAAAAGAACGATGTTCGACGTTTGCGCTCCCCTCTACAAGTAGGATCAAAAAAGCGCTATTAAGAATTAAACGTTAGATACGAATGAAGATCTAATAGAAATTACGTAGTGGAATTTGTGAATTAGGGGAAACTTTTTTAAAATCCTTTTTTTAAGTTATCCGAGCTTAAGCACCTTTCAGAGCGCAATATCATATCCCTTCGATTAAGAAGTGTACGATTATTTAATTATTGCGTTTGATAGACTGCTAAAGTATTACCTAATTACGCTTCTGATTCAATTTACGCGCAAATTGAATCTTATTGAATAAGAAAAAAAACAGATAAGAGAAAAAGATGGGTATGAGTCACGATAAGTCATTTGGAAACGTATTTTACGGAATAAATGCAATTAGATTTAACAAAAACAAAATCGTGTATGTACTATTAATAGAATGAATCATTGAACTGTCACTTATTTATTGACGAATCACCTAAATTAAAATCTCGCTCCGAGAAGAAAATCCAGCTACCGATATACTTTTATGTCAATATACTGTATAACATGATACTTTTGGACCAAGCAATGTATTATACATAATAATAATAGTAACTCGAAATAAATGTCTACCCAAGCCAGACGATCGCGAGCGACCCCCGCAGGTCGTGATCCTTTTTGTATGTCGTTTCTGTAATAAAAAGCTCCAGCTATATCTTAATATCGATTATACACGTGAGCTGGCGAACCACGCAAGACAGAATATACACATTTTACGCATGTAATTGCCCGATACGAGTGCATTAGAATGCAAAAAAAAAACAATTATTGGGAAGGTAAGATAACGCATTTTCGGACACACGTTTTTTCGCGCACGTGAGAACTGTAATTATTATTCATCGCTGCCGACTCTGTATGGATGTTCAACACTCGATGCGACAGATGGTTTTTTTACATAGCGTAACGATGCGTAATTGCAGTTATTTCTATACCGACGGTATAATGCAGATACAAAACGATGCACCATTATACAATGCTGCTACAATAAATGACAAATTTTGAGCTGCAGTGTGTTCTCTTTTACACTCCGATAAGTAAAAATTCAATAAATATATTTCTCTCTTAGTCCGCGTGAGACTTTCGGCGATTTATCCCACGACACACCTTCCCTTTACCTCTTCAACAAACCAGCCTGTAGGATATATATCTTCCCGCGGTCTCCGACGGTCTGATTATTTTAACGACTTGTCCGCGCTTTAAGCCGAAGTATCGCGCCACTGGATCGCCAGCTTGTATTCTCATCAACTGGTTCTCCTTCAGTTTATATCTCGTCAGCAGTTCCTCCTTCTCGTCCGGGGTCAGGACAATGTGCTCGGGTACCAATTCATGCTCGGTAATGTTTATCAGTAATTCGGACTCCAGAAACTGTTCCAGTATGTATTTCGGCGCCATGTCCACCAGCGATTGCTTAGCCGACGGTGTCATGCCTTGCTGGACTACGATGATTGCTCTGTAATAATTGAAAACGACGCTTAATAATCTCGCAAGTATTGACAAGCGAAATGATGCAAAAAAAAACTACTTAGCGTATAATGTTCTATTTAATAATGTTGACAAAAAAAGATAAAAATTAGGGATAATACTAATAGCAATATAATTACTTATATTAATACTTTTTTACTCAAATATCAATACTTTTTTGAACAAATAGCACTAAAATAAAAAATTGCAAAAATAAAATATAACATAATAAAGTATCGTGATATGAGTGAGCCTCCATACAAGAGTGGTCGATCATAGTTAATGGAATTCAATCTCTTATGTGTGTTTCAGTCTTACGAGATTAATTAGAAAGATCAAGATTATAAATGAAGTAGTACAAGGTGAATCGTGTGAATCGTGTAACCAACTTTGGGAATCCAAAATTTTAATTATATAAAGTTTGATGTGAAAAGCAACCTGTGAATCTTCTCTTCCTGCATACGCTGGCAATACGTCTTGATGGTTTTGATGCCAATTTTCGGCTCGTCGGGGAAGAAGACGAACAGCTGATCCGTAGGATCGTCGTTATGCGCCACGAGAACAATAAGATCGCTCCTGGCCGGCCTTTTCTCGCTGGGCTTATCTCCGAACTGTTCCTTGAACAGCTCCAGCGTCTGATCCAGCTCGTCCTGCGTGACGAGGTAACCTCTGTCGTGGCATAGCTGCATCACGGTTTTCCTGATGCGCCACAATTTATAAGTTTCGTCCTCGTCGTCCATTATTTCATGTCAGAATCCGGAAAACTTTTTTGGGCTGAAAACAACCTATTCTTTATATTAATCGTCAAACATTTCGGAAGAATTAATTATTTGGTTTTCTGAACAACAAACACAATGCTTACCACGAGGAACGCCAAACCGGTAACTAACGAATCAACGAATCACGAATGTTACCGCAAAATGCCCTCGCGCAGTAACGCCCTCTGAAGAAGTGGTGTAAACTACATAGCAACTCCACTTTTTCACACCGCGGGTATACAATTTGTGGTGCATGTTTATGTTTATAGTATGTAATAAAAAATAATGGTATTATAATGATAGATAATTATATTAATAATAATATAAAGTAATATATAGTATATATAGATAGTATATATAGTATGTATAGTATATATAGTATTTATAGTACATATAGTATATATATATAGTTATATATATATATATA